GCGTTACGTGTATGTATATGTCCTTGTTAGCTTAACTCTCTCTATATACTAGTGTTAGGCACACTCATTCACATTGAACAACAACTGATGTTATTTTGTAGAAAATGACAGATAATTGATGAGGTCACTGAAATATCCTTGATATCATGTCAATGTTAACTATATTTTATGTGCTAATGGGTCGTAATTGTCTTCATTTTCAAGAATCCTTGTCTAACTTTAATTTCATTGGTTAATTCAATTATCTTCTTATGTGAATCATATGCTTCAGACACATTCATTGTATTCGATGGTGTTAGAAATGGAAAATAAAAGTTAAGATATATATTTAAAAAAATAGTTAATAACAGCAGCAGGATAGTGAAAGTTAATGAATATTCATTATTATGGAAGGTAGTAAACACATCTCTTCACAACAGGAATCTATAAGAATGTGAAAGTGCAATTCTAACTGACTGAAAACCATATTTATGTAACTAAAGCTGTTGTGAAACTAATAATTAAGAAGAAATAATATTTAGAAAGGATAAATAATATATATATATATATATATACGGTTGCCGATTCAGACGATCGACACTAAATCTAGGGAAGGTTAAGAACAAAGAATGTATATTACTTTAACGCATTTTTAACATAGCTTTTTACTTATGCTGATCGAATGAGGTAGATATTACCATATTATATTAAGACTATTGTCTTTCTTCTATCAAATAATATTTGACAATACTTTCCATATTTTTCTCTCTAGAGTACACTAATTAATTTATAAAAGAATGTCTTTTCAACGAGTTATATATGAAAAACTAATTTTTGTCACATAATAACTAATAAAAATATTTCCAAGGCGTTTATTATGACTGACTTTCTAATATATTCATCTCACCAAAAAAATGAATCAATTAGATTCTACTACATATATGTCATAATAATATAGTTTTTGCCGGCGGTATTCTATACATTATTTATCTGTCATTTATTTTCCGTTCATTACACTTATTTTAGTGTACTTGATATGATATTATCATTATCTGACAGATAAATTTAGTATTTTCTAACAAAATTTAATTAATTCACAAAAAACGAAAAGGACAATTTTGACTAATACTAATATATTTTTATAATTAGATCTTTTTTTTTTCGCATGTAGATTGTTGTTTTTTTTATAAAACTAATAGAAAATGGATATGTCTTGTCATATCCTGTTTGCATCTTTTTTCTCTATTCTTACTTATTTTTCTAACTGTATGTAATCTGTTCTTGATAGTTTATACCAAAGAATGATAATCTCATATCTTTGTTACTCAAAAAGAAAAGTCTAGAGATGAATTCAATATAATCCCTTACTTCGATATGAACATTTCTTAGAGTTATGTCTTTCAATGAAAATTAGACAATCGTTGTCTCACCTTATTCGTTGTACGACATCATGCATTGCGTGTTAATGAGAGATGGTGAAAGAGATAGAATGAGAAGAACAAGAAAATGAAGGCACCAACGTTCTTTCATTCAATGGTTAGAAAATAACGACTAGGTTTTTATGATTTTTCTTCTTTCCTTTCTCTTTCTTTTCTTTTGTCTATTTCCCGAGGGTGCATACTCTATGATTATTGAAATATCTATCAATGTTTGCTAGCGAGATATGTCTACTGTTTAGGAGTTTCATCTACCGAGCCTCTGGCACTGAACAAAATCGAAGTGAAGAAGAGAGAGGGAGGGAGGGAGGGAGGAGGGGGAGAGAGAGTGAATTACATTAATTACAATTATATTTTCACTTAAAATTGTATATAAATATGGTGTTATATTTCCTTTATGAAATGTGAGAAACTGAAAGTGATCAAGATCAAGTCTATATTTCTTAGTAAGCAATAGAATAATATGTCGACTTTGAAAATATTTCTAATTAATAGACTTCTAATATTGTGTTAATTAGCACAATAATCGATAGTTATTTATATTCATAATATTGAGTAAAAGAATTTTTTAATCTCTCTTAGTATTACTAGTCAATGATAAATATGAAAATGATAATAAGACATTCATAATTATCAGAGGTGTTTGTTCAGAGAAATAGAATTATAATGACAGATTTGATCAAGACCCATGTTCTGGCTTGGTAAAAAGTATTATATGTTATTTATGTAATGATAAATACAAGGTTACACTGTCTACTGAGCTTGTTATTTGTCTTCTGTCGTCTGTATCTGCTTGGAATGTTTATAATAGACTCTTGTCTATTCATGGTCAAACAAATAACTAGAAAAATATATATACTTTGCTGTATATATCCTTTCAATGAACAAAAATATTACCAATAGTACGTTGATGACGTCAAAATAAATGTCAACAAGTAGTACTTTCACTTGTCACTTGTACGACAATAGACATCCTTTTTTTTTTCTTTTCGTTTTTTTGGTTAATGAGAAAAGCAGATATAAAAAAAAACACATTTTATCAAAGGGAAATTAGATATTACCATCTGTTCTGACAAGTTAGATAAATACGAAATAATTCGTATTGGTTTCTATCAAGGTAAATTCTAATATACAAAAAAAGCAAACTCGAAGATTTATGTTTATTGTAAGAAATGATATTACAACACATGTTATCATTTAGATTTACTTATATGTGTCTACAGTAACATATTTACTTTTTCTTATTTAATGAATATGTATATCAATACTTTAAATAAACTTTTTGTATTTTTTTCTTCTTTCTATTCTATTGATTAATAAAATCTATGAAATAATGTTAACTTTTTTGATCCCGTATTAATCTAAGTAATATATGAAGTATTCATCTGATAAGTAGAAATGACAAGGGTAATATAAGATATTCGTAGAAGAAAGATATAGAAAATTTTGTCGAAATCAATTAATTAATTTGACTAATTGAATCATAAAACATCTCGTAGATCAAGGTAGTTAGATATATTGTATAGACCGAGTGCAAATGAATAATAATATATTCTATAAAAAGCAGATGTATATTTGTCTTGTAACAAAGTCGTTAGTGGCCTACTATTTCCAGTTATTTCAATAACATTCTTCAGTTTTATATTTTTGTCTTCTTTTTCTCATTACAAAAAAAAATACAATTTATTGTCATTTCCTTCCTCAAGATGGTAATCAACGACAGAAAACAACAATTACTGATTTTAAAAAAAGCGACATTTCATCTTCTAAGTCACATAATAATACAACTCAACATCTTCCGTTTTAGAATCAATTAAATACTGATATATGTACTTGATAGGATATGATTAGGAAAATTCAAAATTAGCTTTTGTATCTTTCTTTTAATTGTAACAATTTATATATGTCGTAGTAAACAAACAATCTACAATATATACATGATATTAACTCAATCCACACATGTTATCCTTCACCTAATCTCGAGTACTGTGATACAAGACAACACTTTTTCTCCTTCTTCGAATATCAATTGATAATTATCCACTATACAAAATCGTATCTGTTCGAAAAAACTAATAAGATTTAGTAGAAATATTTATGAAAAAAAAAACTTATTGAAACACATGTTGATATTATATGAAGTCGCATAAATAATTATGAAGAAGCGATCTGACTATGAGTGAACACAAGTTTTTTACGAACTAAGGAGCTTAATAAATAATTGAAAATTCTCATTTATTTCTCAAAAGAATTTTATTCGTGGATTAATCTTTCACATTAAGAATTACACTAATATATAAACAAAACTCTTATTTTGATAGATTATATTCAGATTTTCTTTGATAGATAATCTTCATTTCTATACTCTGAGGAATAACAAAACAAGATTACGAACTATAATAGAAAATAAATCTCAAATATTTCCTACTGTATTCAATTGATTACCTTTTTTTCTTTCTTCTTTATTAAAATACATACGTCATCAAAATAATCGATTAAGAACATTCGAATAATTTTACCATTAATTACAAATAGTTCTATGAAGACATTGACAATTTCCAGTCTTTAATGCTTCATTTCAACAACAGGAACTTCAAAAGAAAAGGTTAAACTCTATGAGGACAACTGAATTGTAGGTTATTTCCTTATGTAGTTCATCAACCCAATCATTAGAACTTAGTCAACTGCGTGATGACATTTATCATTAAACTAAACTAGGCATTAACTTCAGTTTTATATCCAGTATAGATAAAGATAGTTAATCTATTTTGAAAAGGTTCAAAAACTAATTTCGGATCATTTTTCTTCTCATTGATTACATAAACTTACTCGTTTACTTCAAAATAAATCAGAACATAAAAAATCATATATACATAAGAAAAAGACGTAAAATAAAAAAGAAATGATTACCTGATCTGAGATTCTCAAAAAGAATTAATTGAAATGAAAGTAATCTTGCCTTTGAAGATATTACAATAGAATAATGTAAAGCTTTCAATGATCAAAAAGAAAAGTATGCTTAATTTATTTTCATATATTGTAAATTATAGATGTAAGAAACATCCATAGTTTCAATATTTTTATTAGAATTTCTCAATATCAAGTACAAACTTAGTCATTGGAAAGAAATGTCTCCAATAGAACATTATTCTCCTTTTTTAGAATTAAATAAAAAACGATCGTTACTTGTTTATTATCGACATGAAATAAAGATACTCGTCCTGTATTTAAAACCATTTGAAATGTCATTGAGGAAAATAAATCTCTCGATAAAATAATATTAGATTTACTTATAAAATTATTTTTTTATTTACGTATATATATATAATAACATCTGTGAAATTATTTAAGACAAAAAACAACAAAATTTGCAATTACATTAAATATTATGGATTATTTTTTTATTTTTATATAGATTAGATTAGATTAATATTGAAAATATTTATCATTAATATTTACATAAAACAGTAACAAATATAAAAAACATAAGATAACAAAAAAAAATAATAATAATGAAACTATATCTATGAACGATATAGTTGTTGTTGAGCATGTTGAAGAACATAACGACATTGATTAATGGCGTTAGTCCATGAGGATGTTGTTATTTCCATATCGTTTAACAGTTGTTTCAGTCGACGAAACTCGATACTGTTCTTTGTTAAGTGAGGCATCTAAAAGAGTATTATTAATAAAATGATGAACTTGAAGGGCAGAAAATAAATCTACTCGAATGGGCATTTTACGTGTATTGGATAATAGTTGTTTAAGTTGTGGTGTAATAGACGACCATTCATCAAGTAGATCTAAATTATAAAAGTATATCTTTGATCGACTAATATTCATTTATAAATTGTATGAAATTATTTCTTTAAAATTCATTCTCGATAGTTTCATTATGACTTCATAAAATTTTTATTTACCATTAAGACATGGTTTAGCTGATGTTGTAGTTGTTTTTTTTTTCGATTCTTGATTTTTTTTAATTTTTTCAGTTATATTTGATGTATCAGTAGTTTTATTATTTGGTGATGGTGTCCAAATAGGTATACGTGACGTGGAGCATTTGATTGGCATTAATGGTGGTCGATTTTCTTTATTTTCATCAATATCATTTATATGGTCGGATGGTGGTGTTGCTATTAAATGATCAAGTCGAATTAGTTCTTGGTAAATAGGTTCATCTTTATTTTGTACAAATTGTGGATCAACTAATAGACTACTGACATCATTGATATATTTTAAATCTTGTAATGATGGATGACGACTTATTACTACGTGCATTGATTCACTTAAAATTCGACATGCTAGAGAAGAAAATAGTTTTAATTGAAATTGAAATTATTTTTCAACATACGATTAGTAAAAATTAAAAGATCACTTAGTTCTGTTTCATTTAAATTTGGTTCTACAAATGATGTTTTATTTGAACAACGACTTATAGGAATATCATCATCATCATCATCATCTGGTATAATCATTGTTGGTGAATCAAAATAACGTTGCTGATGTTGATTGATCTTATATTTTGTAAATGTACAAAATCGTGGATCATTTGATGTTATAGATAATCGATCAATATTTTCACAGATAGAATTTGATTGATTTTGTTCAATATCATTATGAAATGAACAATATTTATTTGATAATATTGTAAATGTTTTATTCATTACACGTCGTTTATTCGATAAATGTAACATATATTAATTTTTGAAGAAGAAATAAAATAGAACTAGTTTATATACCATTTAAAGAACAATGCTAATGAGGAAAAAAAACGTTGATTTTCAAAATACTAATTAAGGATCACATAAGGGACAAGCAAAACTTTTTTTTATTTATTTGATAATATCTTAAATATTTTATTCAGTACACGTTGTTTATTCGTTGAATTCATCATATATTGGTTTTTGAAGGAGAAAAAAAAGAAAGAACTAATTTATATATAGCACATGTAATAATACAATGCTAATGAGGAAAAAAAGACGTTGATCGTCTGAGACTACTTTGATCACAAAAGGAACAAATGAACTTTCTCAACGATATTCTGTGATCAGACTTGACCTGTATTTTTGAAAAATCCTATATTTTGTGCTATGTAATACATAGCCTTTCATCATTGAAAAGTTCATATATGTACCATATAGTCATGTATTTTTGAAGAAAGAATGTATAATATCGACATCAGTTGTAAATAGATGATATGTTTTCTTTTTCAATTACTAAATCGGTTGATTTTTTTATTGCTGCCTTGCATACTTATACATATAAATTTATACGCTCATATTGAATATATATTACATTAACAGACTTTAGTTGATTTCAATTTAGAATTAAATTGTCATAGGTGGAATAAATAAAAACAATTAATTGATCTTAATGTACAATTTTATATATATTTAGGGCAGGAGAGAGCGATGATCGTTCAAGATTTGAAAATCTTGTTTTGTGGGATATCTCTGAGGTAATGACAAAATTCAAATAATTTATCAAGTATCACAGAAAACGCTACTTGATTTGCTTTCCATTCTTTCTAAAAGATTTAACTGAGTATTATTTTCATTTGTCTGATATAATTTTTGAGAATATAATATTTATTTTTTAATATTTTACTTATTTGTGGAGATTCATAATCTATGTAAATAGATATGCGATAGTTAACCTTAGCTACTATGCCTGAATTCACTTCATATTCTTGTAGGAGAAAGTAGATTAAATGTGTTGATTAACATCCAATTACTTATGTTGACTGTATTATTAAAAGAATTTCGAGTGATGGAATCAATAAAACTTAACTTTCAAATAGAATTAATGTATTAAACGATCCTATATTATAAAAATATCGTAATCCGAGGCCGGAAGATACTAAAAGTTTTATTTTTCAAAATATTTTTTGTACAGAGAAAAATTGAACATATTATCCAAACAATGCCATCTATCATTTGTTCTTTCTGATTAGTCAGTTCTATCAATATTCAAGATCAAATCGAGTACGACTAGTTGTATTCCATTCTATTCTGGGCTATTTAATATAATATGTATACAATAAAAATACATAAATGTATCAAGTAAAACATTTATTTCGTTTACCTGTTCGTCTCTATTCATCCCTACCACCAAAATTTAATCCATGGCAAGATTATCGTGCTTATTTGGATCAAGTAAAAACATATATAAATCGATTGAATCCTTATGTTGAACTTGATCTTCGATCAGCTGCTCTCAATTGGGATTATATATTAAATGATGAAAATTCTCAAACAATTGCAGAAAATATTAAACAAAGAAAAGAAAATGAATATGCTGATATAGAACAAATTGTAAATGAAAAATTTCCTATTATACTTATTTCTAAAAGATATTATCTTCTAGCATGCACTTCATCATGATGTACAAGCTCTATTTCATCGTATTGAAGAAAAAAAACTGGATCCAATTCAAGGCGAAGTAAATAATAATTTATTATTAGAAATAATTTAAATTCTATTTAAATTTTTAGGATCAGATTAAACTTAAAATTCAAGATTTATATAATCATGCATTAAGAATACCTAATAATACACATCCTGACGTCGTAGGTAGCCTTTTGTATATTTCTAATCACCTATCATCTGTTGTTTTTAATTTTTCTCTATCAAGCCAATTGGTAATCAAGAACAAGCACGAGTTGTTCGGTTAGTTGGAAACAAACCCGGTAGAAAAATTTTGTTTAAAAATTGTATTCATTAAATATCATTTGAATTTCTAGAAACGTCTGGTAATTCGCAAACAATTGACCAAATTGGTCAAGAATTAAATTTGATGCAATTAGAGTAAGTTCATTTTTCATAGAAATCTTTTATAATTGTATTTGTAAATAGGAATATGGGTCATGTATCATTTCGTGGTGCTTATGCATTATTTGGTGATTTTGCACGTTTAGAACGAGCTTTAATGTATTATACATTTGAAAAACTTACAAAAAATGTAAATTAATATTTAAAAATTATCTTTTTTTAAAATTCGTATTGTTTCATATTAGGGTTTCAAATTAGTTTCAGTTCCTGATATTATTCATCGAGGCATTATTGTAATATTTGTTTTTATTTTATAAATAAAGTGTTAGAAGACTCTTCTATTTTTATTTCTTAGGAATCATGTGGATTTCCAACAAAAGGTAAACGATCACAAGTCTATCAATTAGATTACGGTGAAGAATTTGGTCGATATTGTCTTGCTGGTACATCTGAAATGCCTATAGCTGGTTTACTTAAACATAATACATTTCGTAAAGATGAATTACCTTTAAAGTAAATAGATTGAAAAAAATATTCATTGTTGTTGTTTTCTTGTCTATTGATTATATATTCATTTTTAGATTAGCTGCATGTAGTCGTTGTTATCGAGCTGAATTACCCGGAGGAAAAGGTGAAGGTAATTTATATCGTGTACATGAATTTAATAAAGTTGAAATGTTTGCTGTTACAACGGATGATGATGATGTTTCACAAGAAATGCATAATGAAATTGTTCGATTAGAATCATCAATGTTTGAAGAACTTGGATTACATTTTAGGTAGAAATAGATTTGATTATTAAAATTAATTTTTGAATATCCAAATATTTTCAGAGTACTTGACATGCCATCAGAAGAACTCGGTCTTTCTGCTCATAGAAAATATGATATTGAAACGTGGATGCCAGCGAAAGGATTTTACGGTGAAGTATGTTTTTTTCTTCTTCTGATTCATAGAAATATATATATCATTTTCTATTTTGTAGATAAGCAGTGCATCGAATTGTACTGATTTTCAATCACGCCGTCTTCACATAAAATATATTGACGATAATGGTGATGAACGATTTGTTCATACTGTACGATAAATTTTATTTTGTATGTATTTTGATTGATGTTTTTTTTTTTAGTTAAATGGAACAGCTATGGCAATTCCTCGAATGCTTACTGCTATTATTGAATCTAATTGGAAACCGGTAAGAAATATGTTCTATAATAAATAAAAGCTCTTTTAAATTTATTCTATGTAATAGGATATTGGACAAGTTCAAATTCCAGTTCCTCTACGAGCTTTTATGGGTAATCGAGAATTTATTTCAAAAACTTCTGCGACACCAAGAACTCAATGGATCAAATTTCTCAGTTGACATTTTACTTTTTCCTAAACATGTACAATTTTACACGTTATTCATTACGAATAAAAAATCTTTGTCAGTATTATGGAAAGCAATTACCTTGAAAAAAAACAGAATTAATCTCATTTAACAATAATTGAAAATCTGTTAGAAAGTTGACATCGTAAATATTTACGAACGATCTTCTTCAATATTAAAAATCATTTTCTGTACACCTGCAAAGAATACATATTCTGTTCAATTGATTGCTATGTGAAATTAAGTTCACTTGAAGTACAAATATGACATAGTTACCACAATTCATTAATTATATACTGTGAACCATTCATAGATATGTAAATTTATTGAATATTATTTATAGTTTTGTTATCACCAACTGTTCCGGAACTACAGTGAACAAAATTATTTGATCAAAGTCTGAGATAAAGAATAACAAAGCTTTCAGCAATATGTTCTTCATTATTAAAATTATGAAATGTAAACTAACTAGCGAATACAAACGATAGATATGAAGGCAAATTTGCTTATGTAATATATACATCTATGTTTACCTTATCGAAATATCTTTTTTCTAGGTACAATAGTAATTTTCATTCTATAGACGATTTATTTGATATCATTATATTGTGTAGAAAAGTACAAAGCATGATGTATATCTATGTAAAAAAGAAAGATACAATATTTTGCCCTTTCGATTGAGTCACACATGAATTACCCTTGCATAATCATCGATATAAATTATTTCTTCATATTTGATTTTTTTTCATGATATATGTATACAGCTAACAATGAAGTATGTAATGAATCGTATTGAATTTTTCTTGTAAACAACCTATTTGAATTTTCGTGTATCAAACAACAACTATTACACATAAAATAATTCGGGACATTCAAATGAAATGGTAAGTTATTTTTCTCATTTCATTAACTTCTATGTATATTATTTATTTAGATCATCGTTACACCCATAACAACATCAGCATGTTGATATAAGTTTTGATGATGCTTATTAATCAGTTTAATTAGACCGGGAAGTCACAACAACGTGTAATAAATTCTATTAGTTATATACAATAATATAACTGATAAGCATCAAAAGTGACGACAACAACATCTATATAAAAACTATTATGAATTCTTATATATTTATATCGATAAATTTTCTTGATTATTGTAAAAGTCAATGCATAAACTATTATTGTTTCTAATTAAAAATATTTAATCAAACAGTCAGGATATTAGAAAAAACATGTTTCCGCGGTCTAAAAGTGTTCTTCACACGTTAAAAACGCTACTTTCAGCGTGTAAAGAACACTTTTGGATCGCGGAAATGTATTTCTCCAAAATCTTGCCTGCTTGGGTAATTGATACACCAAAAAAAGAATAAATTGTTCTTCGATTTTATTTTTCTGTGCATTTAAAGATGAATTAAACGTTTTATAAAACAACGAGAAAAGAAAAACAAAATGATTATATTTTCATCCATTTGTTCAACACACAATGAGTATATAGATCAAGATCTTATGTATATGTATTCTGACAAAAAAAAGAGAAATTCTTTTAACAAAAC